TACGTCGATTACAACATCTTGAGACTGCTGACAACAATATTTTGATCATTATGATTCAGACGTTGAATGATCCCATTATACTAGTAGCTATTTACAATGAGCCCAACAGCACTAAAGCCCTGAAACAGTTGTACAAAATCTACTCAAAGATAAGGCAGATGTCTCGGCATATAATATTTTGTGGTGATATAAATGCGAGAAACACGGAGTGGGGTGACAGAAGAACCAATTCAGTTGGAGAGTTCATATCAGCATTTATGGCCGCAAAAGATTTACATTTACTAAATGAATATGGAGAAATTACGTTTGAAAATACGAGAGGATTCAACAGCATCATTGACTTATCATTTTGCACAGATGACGTTTTAGAATATGAACCGAGATGGAGAGTACAACCAATATTGCCGACGCCAGACCATAAGCCAATTCTACTGGAATTAAATAACACTGAACCCCAGAGACAGGAGCCACACCTAACAGCTATTAAGTGGAATTATGCGGAATGCAATTGGAAAGAATTTGAAGACGAAGTTACAAAATTATGTCAGGAACAACAGGTGGATAAGATCATGCTGACATCCAAAAATAAAATTGATCATGTGGCTAAATTAATTGAAGAGCTCATCCTTACAGCGGCATATAAACATATACCTTGTAAACGAGTAACAGTACGGTCAAAAGGATGGTGGTCCCCGCAGATAGCGATGCAAAGAAAGTTGACGAGAAAGTGGCGTAGGATTTACAAAACAATTAGATCACCACCAAATGAAGCTAGATTTCTGTTTGAACAACGTAAATTGAAAGAGATGATTAGAGACGGTAAAGCACATCACATACCAGTGAAACCAGCTGCCACTCCCGAATTGCATCATATACAATCAGTGTTAAGAAATAAAAAATCAACTAACATACCCTATTTATATATTGATGCCAAGAAAAACACAAATGTAACCCAAATGGCTGAGTCATTGTTGAATGAATTTGTGAGTCAGAAATCTCAAAAAAAATCGGCTCCGTCGATTAATACTATACAATCAAGAGGAGTGAGAAAGAACGATCACAACAACAGGAATAAAACTGGGTTCATTCCAAAAAGAGAATTTCTTGGAATCATACGAAATTTAAAACCAACAAAATCAGGAGGACGAAACACTATTCAAATGATAATGATACAAAAGAGCGGTACTCTGTTCTCTGATCTGTTGTTTAATGTGTGTTTCAACTGTTTTAGGCTGGGTTA